AGTCTCAAATACTCTAAGTTGGTATATACTTTCAAATTTGAGGTTATAGAGATCTATTTCAGATTAATAAAAGCTACCCTAGAGGTTCCCTGCGAGCTGTTCTTCACTATTGTCAGCTTTTATTATTTAGCTTCTATTGCAAATTTTTTTTCTTCTTTCTCCTTTGCACGTTTAAATCTCACCCGTTAAAACAAGTTACAGTCAAGCTGGAGGACGCTGGGTAAAACGTTCCTCCGCTCTTCCACCACCTCTCAGCTTGGATCCAACTCATCAGGCAGATCCCACAGTGCTGGCATTAAAGACGTGCACCACCACCACCCGGCTTTGTCTTTGCTTTCTAAAACTCTGATTTCAGAGCTGGGTATGGAATGCTGGTAGACTGTCTGCACGTACAAGGCCTGCAGGGTTCGAGTCCCAGCACCACCACAAGAAAAATAATTGAAACCAAGGAAAACTAAACGTTTCACCTTTACTTTTCCAAAGATTACAGGCCCATTGCTTTAGTAGACTGTTCCTTAAGTTGGGCTTATCTGATACTTCCTCGTGGTTGGCGTTGGGTAGACTTTCCTCTTCCAAGAATACCACAGACGTAACATTGGGGTCTCAGTATATCTTAGTAGGAAGAACAAGTCAGTCTTTCCTTTATTCATCAGAGTTCCTTTAATTGCTGCTGTTAATGTGTGGCCTGCCAGGTTTCTCTGCCTTATAAAGTTACTGCAAGCTCTTTATAATTGACGTGTGATCTGTGACGCTGTGCTTTGTGTTGTGGAAATGTCTCTCTCCCTCAGCGAACATCTCTTTCCCTTTTAGTTAAACAGCAGTGAACCTTGCTTCAACCGAGTGCTACTGTATTGGTTGGGAGACGGTGGTTTGCTACTGTTTTTTGTTTGTTTGTTTCTTCTGTCATTAGTTGGAATTCTACTGTGGGGGTGGGATGGGATGGGTGGGACTTCTCTTCCCAGCTGTCCTCAGTATAGACTCATTTCTCGCTAGGCTATAATTAATTTCCCTCATAATTTACTTTGATGTTAAAAGTGTTCCAGATCTGAGCAGAGGAAACGTCGTCAGACTACTGCCCATGTCCTTTGGACATGCCTCCATTTATTTTGTATCATCTTGTAAGAAAATATTTTGGTTCAAGATCCCTTTTATCCTCCCCTGCTCCTACCTTAAAATCAGATCATTCCTCCAAGAGCCAAAGTTCTTTTTTAGTAGAGAGTGATATAAAGAACTTAAGATCTAGATGGCAGACCAATACTTAGGTAAGATACATCGATAAATTACACAAATAAATAAATAAATAAATAAACAAACAGGGGGGTCAGTTTTTAAAAAGTTGCTTTGGAGAGCTGGAAAGATGGCTCTTGCAGAGGATTTAGGGGTGTTTCCCAGCACCCAGGAAGGCCCCAAACTTGCTGAGTTGCTGGAGCCGACCTTGAACTCCAGACCCTCCCCTGTTCCTCCCTCCCTAGAGCTGGGCTCACAGGACTACCACCTGTGCTGGGGGTTGAAAGTTCTGTCCATTCTAAGCCGGTTCTCTACCAACTGAACTGCATTTCCCACCCTTAACAAACGCCTTAAAGGAAAACATTCCCAGGTTGCACTCCAGAAGAATCCAGCGTGTGTGTGTGTGTGTGTGTGTGTGTTATTTCTTTGAGGTAGTGATTGTGAGAACTGGGCTTTCATTCAAATCCGTTGCCTATGGTTCAGTAGGAGTTAGGTATGATGTCTCTGAATGTATTTGTCTCTGTAGCCCACTTAGAAAAATGTGATTTTAAAAAAGGTGTTTTGAATAGCCATGCAGTGATGGCACACACCTTTAATCCCGGCCCTCAGGAGCATAGTCAGGTGGATCTCAGTGGGTTTGAGGTCAGCCTGGTCTACGGAGTGAGCTCCAGGACAGGGTTATGCCAGCAAACCTTTGTTATTTCCATAGCTTTATAACACTTTCTCAAGCTCGCGTAGCAAGCACCGTGTCCACTAAGCCTTCTCCCTGGCCTCTGTAGAGTCTCTTGAAGGCTGAGACTTGTCCTTCAAACTACGAATTCTTGTTATAAAGCTATGGAAATTAATACTCCAATCTGAGGATGGATAAATTTGACCTCAGTGCGACAGAGTAGAGAACTTAGAAACAGACCAGGCGTTTATGGAAGCTTGATACAGATTTGATAGGTCACAGGACTTGTACAAGGTTAAGCCAGTGACGGAGAGGGTAGGGCTCGTGAGTCTCCAACACTAGCTGAGCTGAGTATCCAGTTGATGGATGCTGGGGTAGGGAAAGCCAGTCTTCTTTAAGGTGTGGCCCTAGAGTTGACCTAGTCCAGGGGATAGCATCACACCACGTACATAGGCAGCGTGAACTAGGCGTGGTGAGCTATTAAAAGAGTAAGTGAGATAAGGAGGGAAGTTGGGGAAGTGAGTCTGAGCGGTGGTAAGGGAGCTGGGGGTGTGAACATGATTAAAACACACATTGTGCAACAAAGGTGTCTCCAGACGTTACCAAATGTCCCCTGGGGCCCTGGGGCATAGTATCGTCCCAATTGAGTTGAGAATCACCTATCTACCTATATATGTTACACACACACACACACACACACACACACACACACACACACACACATCTCATTGTTTCAAATAGTTTATAATAAAACCAAGTTTAAGATGGATGGGTAGAAGCTCTGCTCTGCCCGTGAAACACAAGCAGAAAGGCATTGTTAAGAGCAGAGTGCGCCTGCGCCTGCTGCAGGCCTTTGAAGTCGGACGTGCAGAGCAGTGTGGGAGACAACCCCAGAGAAGTTGAGTAGCTGATGACAGCCTTAGAAATGGAGCCCAGTATCAGAATTCCATACCTAGTCACACTGGGGTCGGGGGATGTCTCCACTTTTAGAAATTCTTTGGGAAATCTAAAAGTTTAACTCTGCTTAAAAATCACCTGCTTAATTTAAAATAATCTATCACTGATGTGCACTTCAGATACAGGACCCAGAGGATCCGGGCTGGAGCTGACCGAAAAGCCTCCTCTTCCGAGGACTAGCTTTCCCACTTCCAGAAGGTGCTGTGTGAGCTTTCAAGGGAAGGAAGCAACCGGCAGTCAGTCCCAGCCAGCTGTGTTGCCTGTGAGCCATAACAGTGACCAGCAGGACAAACCATCCCTAAGGGTGCGATAGCAGTGTGCATTTCCTGGCAGTAACCAGCAGCTCTCTGATTGGACTTAAGGCCTGCCTATTAGGAAGGGAAATCATGCCTGGCACTGGAAACCTAGGCAATGATCAAGGCTAGAGAGGCCGTGGGTCTTAGAGGAGAGACCGCTCTCCTTATCTTATCAAAGCAGCATCATTCTTAACTGCATCCTAAGTACTTATCCCCAGATCCACAAACAACTGCAGCTTCTCTTTGCAAAACACAGACCATTACAGAGAACCACAGCTGCAAAAAAAAAAAAAAAAAAAAAAAATGCAGAGAACAGCTGGCCAGGGGTGCTAGGCCCGGTGGATACATCTACAACACAACCCCTACACCTAAAGCTCATGGAGGAAGAGGGAGCAGAAAGGTTGTAAGAGCCAGAGGACCAGGGATTCTGCTGGGAGACAGTCTCCTAGAAACGACAGGGAAGGTATACCCCCAACACTTCAATAACAGGGTTGCTGAAACAAAGCGTGACTGAGGATAACACCAACAGAATGCTAACAGGAAACAGGCAGATCTCACAGGACCCCACTCCTACAAAGAACTACAGGCGGCTAAGGTATCCTGGGAGCTGGAAAATTAACCCTCCCCTGGGATGAACTCCCTAATTGGTTACCCAATACTAATTGAGTGGTGAGCCCTGAAATCATACACATAACCAGCAACACTGAATAAACTCAGAAGGCAGTGTTTATGTATTTAGGGTATATATCTCTGTCTGCCTGCCTGCCTATCTATCCGCATGTTCTTACGCGTGTTAAAGAAAGAGAGGTCATGCGTTTGTGAGGAAAGACACAAGAGAGAGCTTGGAATGAGAAAAGGGAATGGGGAGTGAAGTAATTATCTTTAATAAATGCTGAAAAATCTTTCCGTTACCAGAATAAAAAAGAAAAATGCTGTCTGTCACGTTCAAGTCAACATCTGGATTTTAAAAATAACATTCTGAAGAAGAACAACACTATTAGTGATTTTTAAAACTAGAACCCACGTTTATACAAAGCCTGTTTTCTAAGGCCTTGGGAAAGGTCCCTATATTTTATTACCGTCGAGAAGTTGGTTGGACCTGTGAAGTCGTTACCGTCTGTTATCCCCTCACAACTGGGAAAGCTCTAGAAGTAAGAGCAAAATAGTGGGGGTGGGGCGGGGGCTGGCAGATAGCTCGGTGGGGGAAGGAGCCTGTTGCTAAGTTAGACAGGTGCAGTTTGAGTCCCCAGAACCCACACAGTAGAGCACTGATTACAGCGTTGTACACCAACCCCCCGATATATAAGAAAAGTATAAGACCCACGTAACGTGTCATTTCTGCTCTCGGATGACAAGTGTCCGAGAACACCCGCTCACCACTGCACCCGAGGAATCTTCAAGCCTCCAGTTCTCAGGCTCAAATTATGGTCGCATTCAGCCAGTGATGGGGGTTATTTTAATATTAGTTTTATTATGTGTGTGCCTGTGTCTGTCTGTCTGACTACTTCTCTGCTTGCCTACCTGTCTGCCTGTCTATAGCTTGAAGATGTATGTTTGTCTGTTTCTCTGATAACAGGTAGTTAAAGGAGGGAAAAGGTAAAGAAATTGGGGAAAGCTAAGGGGAGGGGTGTGATGAAGAGAGACCTGGGGAAAGAGGATGCCTTGGGCAAGTCTTTCTTTTTTTTTTTTAACTATAAAATCCATAGAATGCAAAAATCAGGTGAGACATATTACAAAGCACCTCATGTTTCAGTGTTTCAAAATGGAACACAGATGGTAAGGCGACCATCGCGGGTTTTTTTTTGTTTTTGTTTTTTTTTTTTTTTTTTTTTTTTGGCACTAGCTCTTACCATATGTCCAGCTCCGAGGAGTACTCGGTGGCTCCCAGCAAGGCGTCAGGTGGCCGGTACCAGAGTGTCACCACTTCTGAAGAGTACGTCTGGCTAGGAATGGACTTGGCTCGAGCAAGACCTGTCCAAAGAGGATAGAGACAGCGCTTGTTATCCTGGTCTTTTGGGGAGGCATGGTGGCCCTGGACGGGGAGAATACAGGGCAGAGTAGACAACAAGAAAGATAACATGTCAGTGGTGGGTGCTCACACCAGAAGCTGTCAACTGTCCCGAGGTTTGCGTGTACGGCAGCAAGAAGAGTTCTTAATTTTGACCTTTGGTGTAGCTAGGCGTGGTCAGGTGACTAAGTTCTTGCTTACTTGGTATGGACAGAGGTGATGTTGAACTTCCAGGTCAAGCCCTTAGCGGATGGGTGGTAGATTCAGATTCCCTCTGAGCTGTGTGGGTCTGGAGGTGATAACTACACTGAAGTAGGCACTTGGGCAGTATCTGAAGGACCGGGAGCCACTTGACAAGATTGGGGAGACGCACTCTGGGGTTGCCACGACAGCTCTGACTGCCCTGAGGGACGGTTGTTTCTAGAACACTCTTCCATTGTACTGTGGGTCTCTACAGTAGCAGTGAAATAACTTAACTTGGCTGATGCTAACTTGGAATTCTTTTACTTGGGAGACAGAACCAGGAGGGTGGCTGCCAGTTAAAGGCCAGCCTGGTCTACACAGTGGGTTCTAGGTCAACCAGGGCTACATGGAGAGACCCTGTCTCAAAAAATTTTTACTGAACAGTTAGTACCACACTAGGAATATAACGATAAGCAAAAACAGACTCTTAACTACTTTCTTGTAAAGGAGAATAAAATCTAAAACCACATATATATGTGTATGTGTTTATGCATTCTGTATCGTGTATCTGTGAATAAAAGGAAAGACACTGTTATAGAGGAAGTTTGTGTCCTTTGCTAGGAATATTGTCAAGGTGTTGTTGACATTTAAGGGTGAAAAAACAAATATCATTTCTATTTCTGCAGGAGTCCATGCTACATTCTAGGATCAACTTCTCTATTCTGCCATCCTGGGATAGCCGTAATCTATCCTGATATAGTTGTCATCAACCACTTAGATATGGGGCTATCTCCTAAGTACAGTCTATTCTACAGGTGTCACTACCTCAAAAGTGACCTATTTGAGGCATCTGGCTAGATGTCTTGATGGAATTCTAGAAAACTTCCACACTCTCCCTTCCTCTTGCCTCACGTTTCCTGGATGTCAATCTGACATCCAACACAGCATCGCGTTCTTGGGCTCTAGTTTTTAAAGGCCAAGCCTCGCCAACGCTTCAAGTAAATACAGACAAAAGACTCATTGTTCATAGACCAGAAGGAGACCTGAGGGCGACTCACCAAAATCAGCCAATTTGAGCTCTCCCAGGTGACTGATGAGCAGGTTCTGAGGTTTCAGGTCCCTGTGAAGAACGTGCTGGTGGTGGATGTACGCCAGGCCCCGCAGAAGCTGGAACATGAAAAGCTGGAAGAGATGAACACCATCCCTCAGGACACGGGAATGGCAGTGTGCTGATTTCATATCTAAGTCAAAAATGGCCCTCTAAAAGAATATAGTGAACATGTCTCTTGAGAGATGAGAAAGAGTGAGAGAGAGAGAGAGAGAGAGAAAGAGAGACAGAGAGAGAGAGAGAGAGAGAGAGAGAGAAACCATTCAGAAAGAGGAGGAAGGCTCAAAGGAACCAAGTAGACTACATCCCAAACAAAGGGATTCTGGCTTTTCCCAACATCTTGTTCCTTTGATACTGAAGGAATTGCCCTTCCTTAAAATCTACAGTGAAACCTTGAGGTCTCCTTAGAAGCAATTGCAGCTGGTTTAGCTGTGAAAGATATCATCTTTACACACAGATGACTTGGTATGTCAGGTCAAAGTTGATTTGGAAATGATAGAGTTTATTATACTTGTTGTGATTTTCCGGGTTCCAGTATGAACTCTTTTAAATCTATGATACCAAAAGACCCAACTGGGAAATATATTTTAGATGGTATTAAGAAATAAAGGGGGGGCGTGGTAAGATGGGTCAGTAGGTAAAGTACTTTCTTGGTAAGCCTGGAATCCTATGTTCAATACCCAGAACCCATATAAAGGTGGGAGGAGAGAATCGACTCCACAAAGCTGCCCTCTCTCTCTCTCTCTCTCTCTCTCTCTCTCTCACACACACACACACACACACACACACACACACACGATGCTTATTTATTTACTTTTTAAGTTTGAGAAAAAGAAATAAAGGAACCATTGTATTCATAAATTATCTTAAAGCCTTAAATTCAAAGTTGAAAACAAAATGTAACAGAAATAATTGCACAAGCAAGAAGACATTTACTTCTCTGCATAGCTACAGGACAGGACTTTTTACTAGAAATCTAAAGCCTTTTATTTTATGTATATGAACGTTTTGCCTCTGTGTACAGCTGTGTCCCAGTTGCATGCAGTACCCACAGAGACCAGAAGAGGGTGGTAGACCCTGTGGAAATGGAGCTACAGATCTCTGCTATGCGGGCGCTAGAAACCAAACCAGGTCTTCGGCAAGAGAAGTGCTTTTTTTTTTTTTTAGTGATTGAGTCATGTCTCCAGCTCTCCAGCTCCTTACTGAGCTCTTATTTATTTGTTTGTTTGTTTGTTTGTTTGTTTTCATCCTTCTCAGCACTTCAGTGTCTGGTATGTGTGATCCTCCAGCCTCAAAGTCCGTCTTCCTCCGAGCGTTCTATTTAGCAGCTGGCACGCCCCTTGGCATCCGGCTCACCGTAGCACAGCGACCTGAGGCTAGACCCAGTCTAGACACCAATGCTGTCTCGCTACCGCATCTTCTCGGTTTCCTCCACGTGTCTGACAGAACTCCGCCTCTGAATCGCTCAGAATGCCTGCTTTCTCTCCTCCTCTATTAGAACTGTTGGACACTACCACGTTTAAGAAGGAAAGGTGGTGTTGTCCAAAGGTGGCTCACTGGCTCTGAGCCCTGGCTGCTCTTGTAGAGCACGAGAGCTGGGTTCCCAGCGGTCACACAGAAGCACACAACCATTTGTAATTCCGACATGAGGATATCGAGTTCCCTTTTTTGGTTTCTACTCATGTACGCACATACATACGATTTTTAAAAAATAAATCTTTTAACAACAATAATAAACCCCCACAAAACATAGTTAGGCAGACAATTTAATAATTGTTTTGTTATATTGTTATATTTAATAGTGATTGTTTTGTACCCATGAGGGTTCTTGCCAGAGGGGAGCCTGGCTCTTAAAGTACTCACCCTGACGTTGTGAGGATGAAGGCCTCCGGGATGCTGAGACATGTACTGGGCCAGGTCTGTGTGCTAAATAGAATGGCAGGGAAAGAGGACAGAGGTCAGCGGCGCTTGGACAGTATCCTGCATCGCACCGCGTACCCGAGCGAGCGCAACAAAATCGCGGATGTTTAGACAAAAGGGCGCTTGGACAGTATCCTGAATCACACCGTGTACTCGAGGGGGCACAACAAAAACGCGGATGTTTAGACTAAAGGGCGCTTGGACAGTATCCTACATCACACCGTGTACCCGAGGGGGCACAACAAAAACGCGGATGTTTAAAGTATAAAAGGAGTTATAGCCAGATTTCTGTGCGGCAGACAGGGCATGTCTTCTAGCTGGCTGCTGGCACATCGGAGCCCGTTCTTGGTACAGAGACACTCCATTTGAGTGACTCGTTCTGAACACAGCAAAGGGAACCTTCACTTTTCAAGTATCCTTGAAGGCAGGTCAAGTACACTCCTCTCAGGATTTCTTTCTGCTCATTTGATCTTTTTTTTCCCCTTTCAAAAGTACAAATTGAGTCATTAGTAGGCTGATATATGGCCTTTAAATATCTTGTGTTTTATATCTTTCCGTTTTGCCAAAAAAAAAACAAACCAGGTTCTATAAGTAATTAAAACAGCCTTTTTTAAAAAAAAGATTTATTTATTTATTATGTATACAATATTCTGTCTGCATGTATGCCTGAAGGCCAGAAGAGGGCACCAGATCTCACTACAGATGGCTGTGAGCCACCATGTGGTTACTGGGAATCGAAGTCAGGACCTCTGGAAGAGCAGCCAGTGCTCTTAACCTCTGAGCCATCTCTCCAGCCCCAAACAGCCTTTTTAAAAGCACAGAGTTTTATGAGAAAGCAAATACAGAATCCTAGTCTATTCCTGGTGGCAAGGGGGGACAGGACCGACAAAATCCAGGTGAAGAGGTGGAACTAATTGCTGGCCAGAGCAGCAAGGCCCTGCCTAGCCCAACGATCCATCCTACCTTCCACATCATAATGAAAGTTTTATCATGCCATAAAATATTAACAGATTCATTATACAAGCACCAGGCCTTTTCCCCTCTGTGCTGGAAAAGCCTAGAGAACTCACCAAGTATTCAAACACGAATGTCAGAGTCTCCTTGGTGTGAACGATGTCGTGCAGAAGGACAATGTTGGCGTGCTTCAGTCCCTTCAGGAGAGAGGCTAGGAAGATTTAAACAAGAGGGGACCAGCATCACTGATAAGAAAGGCAATAAGTCTGGCAATCTTGAGTTCAATCCCTGAAACCCATGCAAATAGGTAGAAGACAAAAAAAAAAAAAAAATGACCGCACGAAGTTGTCTTCTGACCTTCACATAGGCATCATGGCACGGCTTTGAGCACGCATGCATGGGCATGTGTGTGAACACAGACACACACTAATAACAATAATTTTAAACTTTTAAAAATATCCCTCTCCTATGCCATTACCCTGGGGCTACTTCTCATAAGGCCGTAACTATGCAAAGAATACGTTATGTCCTTGATCAGGTTGGACTCAGCAGAATTCCTGTCAGCCAGGCATGCCCTCCTCCATCTGTGGGAACTGCGGACCTGAGATTTTAATCAGACCCTTTGTTGATCTTATCGGATGATCCCCCAGCAAGGTTCCTGAACCTCTTTTTTTTTTTTTGGTGAGTTTTCTCATAAATAGGTTAGAAGTAAGTACAATGATCCAAAAGGTTTTCAGCCACAATGTTTCTAGTTTAAATACTGCCATTGCCGGGTTCTTTTTTTTTTTTTTTTTTTTTTTTTTTTTTTTTTTTTTTGGTTTTTCGAGACAGGGTTTTCTCTGTGGTTTTGGAGGCTGTCCTGGAACTAGCTCTGTAGACCAGGCTGGTCTCGAACTCACAGAGACCCGCCTGCCTCTGCCTCCGAGTGCTGGGATTAAAGAAACTGGAGAGCTGCTGCTCACCCACTATCGGGCTGTTTTCTGGAGTCTTCCCCAGTCTGCCTTAATTTTCACACAGGCAGCATCACAGAGCGGAGTTCTGTTTTTCCGCTTTTACCCTTGCTGAAGGAGAGTCAGTCGAGCAAGCCTTTGCAGTTTTATGTAGTAGAGAGAATTTAAATATAACTGACAGGGGGTTCTAATGCTGAAGAATGCTATGATTCCAGGCAAATTTCCCAGCTTCCCTGAGGTTCAGACTCCTTCGTTTCTATAACAACAACAAACGCCATTATATTGTACTTCTGCCGTTGGTGTAAGGGGTTGACAAAGACTATGGCAGAGGAAGGCATGTCACGTTTCTGGATCTCAGGACAGAGTGTATATATGAAAGTTATGAGTGTGTGAATGAAGTTTGGTTTGGCCATATGATATAATGTCTCTAAAGGTGTTAAGGATGCATGGAAGCTTATTAGGATTTTCCCTTAGTGCCATTCAGACTTTTGTTCGTTTCATATTACATATGAAGATCTCACGAACGCAAGCATGCACTCTGCCTACTGAGAGACTGTCCATGTAGCAAAAATTCTACTCAATAAATCCCAGGCTGCCCCACACTCAGAGCAAGCAGACTTCTCGGGAAAAGAATTCTTTTTTTTTTTAAATGTTAAGATTTTATTTACAAAGCTTTTCTTTGTTGTACAGAAAGTAAAAATGTTGTTACAATCCCAGTGTAACTGGCAGCCAGGACGGTCAACTGGGAAAAGAATTCTTGTGTCAAGGGTTTGGAAAGAAGGCTCTTTTTGAGTTTTTTCCCGCGCATGGCATCTGGTTACCTTTCTAGCCAGTGACCCTGGATTTTAACTAATGAACACCAGCTGCTCTTATCTTGCTTTCCATCCCTCTCCATTTAACCTCAGTCTCTCTGGCCTCACATCCATCGAGATCTTAACCAGGGAGAATTGAACCAGTATCAAAGTTCTTTAAGTGGGGCCTCGCTTTCAAGGCTGCAAGCTTTCACGCTGAAGGAAAAAGAAGCGGCCATTGTTGGAAGCTGGAAGCCAAACCACCTCCGATGTGTCAAAATCCTTTTGTGGTTTTTCATATCATACAAGCAAAGCTTTCAGTAAGGGGCAGTCTATAAAACAAACCGAGGAGTCCGCAAAGGAGCCCTAACTGTAATTGCGAACACCTGTGTGGCGGGCGGCACCGGGCAAAGGATCGATGCAGGAATGGTTGCGCAGAGAGAACAATCCATGCGGGGTGGGGCAGGGTGGGCTTTGAGCCAGGCTGAGAACATCTGTGCATCTGTTAGCAGAACCTGCTGCAACAGGGTTTCGCTGTGCCTGCCAGATGTGGACCTGGAGAACCCAGCTCGAGGGAAAATAGGAACAAAGCACAATGTGAGCAATTAGTGAACTCCAGCTCGCGAAAGGCCATGCCCAGAGAATGTTGAGAGCTTTGACACAGAAAGTCCCCGCTAGCCCAGTGACTGGGACCCTTCTACTGTGTTCAGAGATACTCTTCCACCTAGCCGCACACCGGTCCCCAAATGTGATCGCCCTCTCGTTTGGATGACTCATAAGTACACCAGTAAGTGCGGCTTCCATTATGTTAAACACTTAAACCATGGGTGTGTGTCCCCACCCCCCCCCCAGATTGCACCTGATCCTATCGGATGAGTCCCCACTTAAACTGATAGCTTCTTGGCCTTTCTACTTAAACTGAAAATGTTTCCCAGGGGCATCCGAGGCTTTTGAAAATGGAATCAAATTGAGTTATAAGCTCGTTTTCTGAAATGTTTTTTTTTAAAACGCCTGTTTGCATAACCTATTCTTCTACGTTCAGCCCCAAATCTGCCTCTCCATTAGGTACACTGATTCATTGTCGTCTGAGCTTGCAACCGCCTCTACACACTCAATGCTTGAATTGTCTGCTCTGTTAAGACTGAAAACATCAGAATGAAGAACGGGGCTTTCTCTGCTTATCTCTCAAGCTCTCAACACCACCCTTTGCATCCAGTGTGTACTCAGGAAAGGAGGGAAGACAACAGAGCTAAGAGAAGAACGGAAGGCCGAGGAAGGGCCATTTTTTCTGGATTTCTTTTTTTTCCAGAGACCGATAGTAATCGCGTCATGCAGAGGGCTCCGTTGATGAGAAAGCTTGCCTAGTGTGGGGGTTCGGATGAGAAATTCAACCCAGAGGCTTGAGTTTTTGAGTGTTTGAGTCCTAGTTGGTGGCATTGTCTGGGGACCCGGCAGTTTTGTTGGAAGAAACACAAAAACACAAGACTGAAGACTCGGGGTTTGAGAACTCAGCATTGCACACTTCCGGTTTGCTCTTTCTAGTGTGTGTGTTTGTGTGTGTGTGTGTGTGTGTGTGTGTGTGTGTTTGAAGGTGTCATCTTTTAGCTTCCTGTTCCTGCTACCACGGAGGCTTTTTGTTGCTCTGCCTCTCCCAATATCCCATCCTCCCTATGACAGACTCTTATCTCTTTGGAACTGTCAGCCAGGTAAACTCTTTCTTCCTTTGGTTGTGGCGTTTTACCACAACAGAAACGTAACTAATATCCTAGCATGTTTGAGGCCCAAGATTTGTTTCCCAGCAGGACGTGTAAAGCTGAGTGTGGCAGCATGTCTATCAAGGTAGCCCTTGGGAGGGACAGGCAGGGGGATGAAGAGTTCCAGGCCATCCTTGGTTACACAGTGAGTTTGGGGCCAGTCTGGGCTCTAAGAGGCCCTGCCCCAAACAACCAACACCCTTAGGTAAAATGCTGGTAAATTGTATTCTTTTGTTTCACTATGTTGGTTTTAAGTTTGTAAGTTATTAGTGATAAATATTGTGGTATACATCTTCTCATTGATCAGTAATATAAAAGTAATAAAATAAAATTCAAGAATAAAATCATAGCAGTGACTATTCACTGAGCCCTGAAATAAGCATCATGTGCTCTCATTTGATCTTTATTTTTTATTTTATTTTTTGTTTTTTCCCCTAGACAGGGTTTCTCTGTGGCTTTGGAGCCTGTCCTGGAACTAGCTCTGTAAGACAATGCTGGCCTCGAACTCACAGAGATCCTCCTGCCTCTGCCTCCCAAGTGCTGGGATTAAAGGCGTGTGCCACCGCCACCCAGCTTTGTTTGGTCTTTATAACACTCTCTTAAACATGTCCTGTTAACAGCCACTTCTTCTGCGAACCCAGTCTTAGAGAAACTATGGATCAGAACCACATCATCAGCCCCTAGCAGCCAGATGAGGCAGACCCGGACATCTTCACCTCCTTGCGATGCTGCCCACAGTGCAAAGAAAACCCAGGAAGCTAGGTTTGTCAAGGCACCCCTGGAAGGCCAGCTCTAGGAGGCAGGGGGACAGCAAGCTTGAGGTCAAAGTGGGCTACATAGTAAGTCTGAGGCTGGGCTGGAGAGATGGTTCAGTGGTTAAGAGCATTGACTGCTCTTCCAAAGGTCCTGAGTTCAATTCCCAGCAACCACATGGTGGCTCACAACCATCTGTAATGAGGTCTGGTGCCCTCTTCTGGCCTGCAGACATACAGACAGAAAAAAAAAAGTAAGTCTGAGGCTGTGTAGGCAGACAAACAAACAAAACAGAGACAGCTCCAGAGGGAGAGAGAGAAGAAGGGAGAGAAAGAAAATGCTGAAAGAATATGTCTTCTACCCTGGAGGCTGAAGCAGTAGGATTGCAAGTTCAAGGCCTGTCTAGGAAATTTAGTGAGACTCTGTCCCAAAGAAATAACTCTGTGTGTGTGTGTGTGTGTGTGTGTGTGTGTGTTTTGTGCACGTGCACCCTGGACCCTTGGTTCAACCCCTAAGTACTGCAGGAAAAACAAAAATAAAACAAAAAAATAGGCTATGATCAGGTGAATCCCCTTCACCAATTACTATGATGTTACACTTCTCTCTCTTTTCAATGAGTTGTGTAGACATGGTTTTAGTATGAACCCAAGCATGCAGCAAACATTTAGTAAACGCTCATAGAGGTCATAAATATGGACATCAGTTTTGAACGTTGTCTTCAAGAACAAACACTAAAACGATAGTGTAAATAATCTTGGGGAATCGGCAACAAAATCAAAATCTGAAATTATAAATCACTTCTAGAAATACCAGAGATTGCACGCTGAGTGGGCAGACTGAATCCTTTACGGTGGTTTTACCATGTCTAGCCATCAAAACAACCTCTGGGGTTCGCTTCTTCCTGGTCTTACCTTCCCGTATGGCTGTGAAAGGGACGCCCTCCTCCGCGTTCATGCTGATGACTTTCAGAGCTACCAGTTGTCCGTTTATCCTAGGAAGGGACAGGACAGACAGACACACACTCACTGAGATGGTCCAAAGCAACGGCTCACGCACAGATGCTAGAACAAAGGCTTGTGTTCCTCCACAAGCTCTAGAATATAAACTAACAATTTCCTCAAAACAACGAGCCCTTTACACATAAAACATGTGGCATATATATTTCCCAGTAGCCTTTTCTTTACTTGCGTGGTCGATTTACTTTATAGGACATTCAGAGTAAGCAGGAAGGCATCCAGAGGCCACCTCCCTCCTGGTGTTTGCTGATCCCTTTGGTGCACTTAAGCCAGGCTTGTCTGCCATCTAACTTTGGCTGTGGCTTCATAACTGTCTCCTTGATCTTTTCTGTCCACTCTCCGTAGAGTCCCTCGGGACATACTTCTCAAATGAAAATCAACTTGTCACTTACTTTGCAAAACCTACTGTTTCTCCACCCTTCGTTTCTGATAACAGCCTAATTCTCTTCCTTTTTCTTTTTGTTGTTTTGTGTGTGTGTGTGTGTGTGTGTGTGTTTGCGTGCTCAGGGGAGGGAGATGTGGGTCTTGAAATGTAGTCCTGACTGACTTCCAACTTTCAATTCTCCTGAATAAACATGTTAACAGCCAATGTCGGCAGTATTCTCCAAAGTATTGTCTGATTTACCTACATCTCGCCGTTCTCTTTCTTCTTTTCCTCTCCCTCCCTCCGTCTTCTCTCCACTTATGTATAGTTTTGTTTTGATATTAGATAAGTGTAGATATCCAAGAAGGTTTTTATGACCATGTTGTTTCTAATACGGAGAGATTCACTCTCAATAATCTGTTCTCTCTCGGTTTCTCTTATCATTCATGATGTGGTTTTTTTTAATTAATTAATTAATTTATTTTATTTTATTTTTTATTTTTTTTGGTTTTTCGAGACAGGGTTTCTCTGTGGTTTTGGAGCCTGTCCTGGAACTAGCTCTTGTAGACCAGGCTGGTCTCGAACTCACAGAGATCCGCCTGCCTCTGCCTCCCGAGTGCTGGGATTAAAGGCGTGCGCCACCACCGCCCGGCTTTTAATTTATTTATTTATTTATTATGTGTACAACATTTTGCTTCCCACACACCAGAAGAGGGCGCCAGATCTCATAGATGGTTGTGAGCCACCATGCGGTTGCTGGGAATTGAACTCAGGACCTCTGGAAGAGCATTCAGTGCTCTTAACCTCTGAGCCATCTCTCCAGCCCCTCATGATGTTTTTAATAAACAAGCTAGCATTGAACTTATAACAATCTTCCTGCCTCAACTTTTCAAGTCCTGGGATTATAGGCATAAGCCACCATGCCTGGTTTTGTTGTTTACTATTGCAAAATCGGATATTTAATAATGTTATAGTATTTTATCATACAGACACACAACAGTGTGTTCTGCCAATTCCAAATTCTTATAAATTACAGTTTGGGGTTATTTTAAGAATACCGTGATGGGCATGGTGGCTCCTGTTGTAACCCTAGCCCTTGAGAGGCTGAGGTAGGAGGAAAGTTGTTACAATGTCAGACGGGTCAACGTGGTGAGTTCCAGAGACTAGCTTGGGTTAGCATGAGACTGTTTCCTTTAAGGACATAATGGGGGCTATGGGAAAAGATTTAGCTACAGAAATGATGATGAAAATTTTTCATTTTATTTGGTGTTTGCTTTAAAATTCATTTTTTTGAGAACAATTTTAGAGTTCTAGAAAAACCGAGAAGTTAGATAGAAGAAGATAGTGTAGAAAGTTCCCATGTCCTTACACTCTGTTTCTACTACTGTTGACTCTTACTTAGCAAGGCGAAGCTATTACAACTGATGAACCAAGCTGGGCACAATTGACCTACACCTGTAATTCTAGCACTTGGAAGATGGAGGAAGGAGAATCAAGGAATTCAAGGTCATCCTCAGCTACATTTGAAGGCCAGCCAGAACTGAAACTCATGAATCTGTGTTTCATGTGTTTCAGTTCAAAAAAAAAAACCCAGAACAAAACAAACAAACCAAAACACTAAACTAGTGTAAAATAATGACAATAATTAATGAACTAATATTGGTGAATGTCATTAAAGCATATTAGAATTCCTTCAGCTTTTACTTCATAACCTTCTAATTGCCCAAGATGATACCCAGGACTACATTTAGTTGCTGTGTCTCCCTAGGGTCCTCTTGGCTGTGCACTTTGCCGGATTTTCCTTGGGTTTGGTGACCTTGATGGTCCTGGGGCATGCTGGTTAAGAACTTTGTAGAGTTCTTCTCTTAGACATTTTCCCTGAAGTTTCTCTTAAGACTAAGCTGGGATTCTGAATTTGGGGATGGTTAAGAACTATCTTGATGATATTGTACCATGGGGGCTCTCTTTGGCCATGACTTGGGTCTTTGGATGTTGATGGTAACTGCCTGTCTGAGGTTGCACTCGTTGACCGTCTATTGCAAAGTGACTATCTTAGAATCCACATCACTAAGTGTAACTTGGTGCACTTTGGGTAATGGGCCCACTGAGATTCTCTTCCGACAGAGTAGACCTGTGTAAGAAATCTGGAATTCTTTTGCATTGGAGATTTATTTCTCCTCTCTTATTTATTAATTTATTGAGCCATTCCTTTGTAGCAGCAGCGACTCATAGATATTTTATTCTTTGGGTTATAACTCAATACCATTTAATTTTGTGCCCTGGTTTTGGCAGGTTTTCCCCTTGGAAACTCTTCCGTTGATGCCCACGCCACTCATCAGGGGGAGCTTAGTTTTGTTTTTACCTCCACAGTCTGGCCTATGCATATATCGCTTTTTAATTAATTTCTTTACATCTGATACTGCATTTCCCAGTCGTTTCTGTTTATTCTGTCCCTCCCTCACCTTTTTACAGGAACGTTTGACAAAGATTTTTTTTTTACTGCTTGCTTTCACTTGCCTTTCAAGTTTCGAGCTTAAATTTTTTTTTAATGTGGGAAATACTAATTTCCCAGAATATTTTACTGAGACCATGGCTCTGTAAGATTCTATTCCACCCACCCCAAACAACAACAACAGCTTTTTTGTCAAATATGTGTAGAAATGCTGTGCACTTTCAGGATTTCCACTGCTCTTGGGTAGCCGTGGTACCAAAACACAGGCAGTTTTGCTGGGCTGAAGGTATCTGTTGTAAAGGAAATTGGTTTTGTCTAGGGTTGCCAGCATCTATTGGACTTCAGCTGTTTCAATGAAACCCTTATTGAAGTGTCTTGGAATCGGTACTCTCTGGAACACTGGGGCACCGTGGTCACTCCATCCTCCTATGCTGAATGTTATATGCGTAAACCGACCTCCCCAGCCTCAAGGATGCACCCACTTCATCTTTCTGTCTAACTGCTGTGCATTTCCTTGTTCATTTAAATCTTTACTCCATTGTATTTATCTATTTGTTTGTTTGTTTATTTATATTTTTTGAGACAGGGTTTCTCTGTAGCTTTGGAGCCTGTCCTAGAGCTAGCTCTTATAGACCAGGCTGGCCTCAAACTCACAGAGATTCTCCTGCCTCTGCCTCCCAAGTACTGAGATTAAAGGCGTGCACCACCATCACTCGGCCACTGTATTCTTATTCTGCATTCAATTTTCAAAAAGGCAGATTGTCCCAGCGCTGTTTGCGGAAACATTTTCTTTTCCCTGCTGACTTGAAAGGTCACCACGTGTATTTAGTAAATTTTACTGATTACTTGTATTTGTACGTATTCAGAGCTTTCTGAAATAACATTTCTGTCATGTGTGGTAGTGTGTACTGTAATCCCAGTACCGAGGAATAGACAGGAAGATCACAGGTTCAAGGCCAGCTTGGTCTACATTTTGAATTTCAGGTTAGCTAGGGCTATATTAGAAAGACCTTGACTTTTTTTTAAAAAAAAGTCTTTGATCTATCTTTTATGTGTGTGCTGTACAATTTTAATTGTACTTAGACTATAAAGCCAGATCTCTGGGTCTGTGGGTACCGTGTGTGTGTGTGCGTGTGTGTGTGTGTGTGTGTGTGTGTGTGTGTGTGCGTGTGTGGAAATATTTGGGAAGAATATTGATTGTACATTGACTGTGTATTGATTCCTTTTCTTATCATTTCCTGCACAACACCACATCCGGCTATTTGCATAGCATTTCCATCGTATGGCGCTATATGCAAATACTGTGTCATCTTTTGTAAGTGATTTGAGCATCCATGGATTAGGATCCCCAGGGGTCAGGGTGGGGCCTAAACACCAGCTTCCTAAGTGTTTCAGGAGGCACGTTTAGTTAGCCCACATCAAACCCAGAAGTCAGGGAGCCAATGTCATCTCTACGGTGTTAGGTTCTGACTGTCCTGTGTTTGCAACCGCCTTGGAATCCATCGACTCACACATACTCCCGCCAGCTCCTCCCAGCCCTCATCCCCTTCCTGGGGGATGATTCTGACACAGGGAGTTTTTTTTTACTTGTTTTCCCCTGCTTGGAGTTGTCCTCTGTGTCCCTGCATCTAGTTCATCGTCACCTCCCTCAGATTCCCTGTCCAAACCTTTCTCTCTCGGTGAGGCCTCTTCTCCCTGCTCTTTATAAAATCGTGATTGCCTCGCTGCCCCCATTCCATTCCCATTGCACCCACCCCAAGTTTTTATTTTTATTTATTATATTATATTTTTGTTTATTATATTATGTATTATATTCATTTATTACATCATGTTTATTATAATATGTTTGTATTAATATATTATTTTATTATATTATATATTATTATATTCATTATATTATTTTTATTATATATGATACTCATTATATTATTTTTATTTATTATATTATAAACCTCTCTCCCCTCCTATGTAATATACATATATTTGCATGTATATAATCCTTTTGAGGTATATTATATATAGTAGAAATAAATTATTTTTTTCTTATATATAATACATATATTAGTCTTTTGTGGCAAGGTCTCATGATGGATCTAAAGCTAGTCTGGTGGCTAGCAAGCCCAACCGACCCTACTATCTCCACTCCCCTCTCTCCTCACAGCACCGGGACTATAGGCATGTGTAGCTCCACCTGGATTTTTATGTGGTTATGGGGATTTGAACCCAGGTTGGGAAGCATTTCTAATGCACTTTTATCCTATTACTTAGCTGAGTTTCTTGAAGGAAATATTTTACATTCTTAGGTCCTAGGGTAATCTATAGTCATGAATCAAATCCTGGTTCTATACAATAAATCTGAAATTGCATTTTCCTAGTCATTTTATTTTAACAAAGACAACAACAAATATACAAATTCTAAGATAAAAAATAATACTTAGTATTATGAGATTTGTACTTTTAAAATAAGACTACCATTAAGTGATGATTTTCTCTATTAGAATACCGTAAATTAAGGGATAAAGTTTTCCACCTTTCTTACCCTTTCTAGAAGGCAACCAGAAAGACCAGAATTCTGTCTTAGAACTGGTACCTGGGCTTTGGATAAACCTTCTTTTCCCCAGCCATTTTGTACGTTTCACAGGTACAGAAGATGCTGGCATAGCTTTTGCATATCCACACTGGAGATTTAGGAAGGGTCAAGAAACACTCTCTAGAGACACCTGACCAGCTGGGTTTCTCTATAGGTGGCAATTGTTCTTTCAGTCAACAGAGGAGAAAGCTTACCTTCTCCAGCAGTTGATTTTAGCTAGACAAGAACTGTGTTGTTGTGGGTTTGTTGTTGTTGTTATTGTTGCTGTTTTGTTCTGTTCTGTTTTCGGGGTAGTTAAAATCACATCTCCTTCCTGTTAGCCCAGATGTCTCAACACAACTCCAAAGGTTGTGAATGTCTGTGATATGTCGACGGAAATTTATAATGCAATAGGAGACACCCCCATCTACAGTCTTCGACAAGGGACTCACCTGCTAATCCCCTTGTAAACCTTGGCATAAGAACCTTCTCCCAGCTTCTCCAAGTTCAAGTAAGATGAGGCTGCCCCAAAGGGGAGGCTCTTCTTCTGCTTACAGGGTGGGGTGAGAGGTGGGAAGACAGAAAGAGCACTTAGAAAATAATGTTGACTTGTCTTTTCCCTAGGGGCATTAGACAGTATTGGGGGGTGGGGGAGGAACTCATACAGGCATCCCGGGAAGGCGAGGGCCAGATTCCCTTAGACAAGCACCCTTGAAATCCTTCCCGATGACTGTCAGTGGCTCACTCACCCATGGCAACCCCTGCCGCAGATTCTCTTCCTGAAAAGAATCACTGTTGCTCCGTGGCCTTTTCCTCTCCAGCTTCTGGTTACTGACAGCCTGGAGTCCCCTGGGGTAAAATAAAGCCGTGGAACATGGTGCTCCTTTTCTGTCTGTTAGCTAGAGGGAAAAGAAAGTACAGGAGCAAAGTGTGTATAAAATCAAATTTTGGTGGCTGGCGAAGTCTTTTCTCGGTTTTGTTTGCCTGTTGTGTTTGTTTGTTTGTTTGTTTGTTTCTAAGCTCCTTCCCCTCCCTAAAGGCTCCTCTCCTGAAAGTCAGATCCCTTAGAGACCACCATGGTACCGATCACTGAAATACCAAATTTCTCCTCCGCCTGCATAATTTAACTCAGTCTCCTTGATGAGTGTTTCCAAATTTCTCCGTTTAACTCGGTCTCCCCCATGCCCAACCGCTTCCCTACATGCTTAATGTAATATCTTAGAATAATCTAGTAAGGCACTGCTAATAATCAGGAGATAATTACTGAAACTGAGAATCCCCGGTGGACCTACCAGTATGGCAGCTTGCCCTCTTACGGTTCAGCCCTGCCATTTAGTGGCTCAGAGATGTCCAGAGAAGAGCCACTTTCTCTGTTTCAAGTCAAAAGAGACCAAAGCCAAAGATTACTCCCCTCTTCTGGTTTACAAGCACACCCCAAAACTTGATAACTACGGCCGTAAATCCTCTGTGACTTTAATAGAATTCTCTTTTTTATGAGTTTAGACCTACCACAGAGGACTCAGACCCTGCTGCAGAAGGGAGCGTCTGTCTGAACTGCTTGGTTTACCAATAAAGAAAGATGCTCCTCCCGGGATACAAATACCTCGAACGCAGCAGCCTCGGCGCTCCCAGGCTGGCTTCTCCGACAGCTGTGCGCTTCCCCTCCCTCCGAACGGTGGTAGCAACTGCATCCCGGCTGTAGCCTCTTTGCACACAGCTCCTGACCCATAATAGTCCAGGTTCAAGGAGAAAACCCGCACTTGAACGTCTCCCCATCCGCCTCTGCCGTCCTCCTTCGCTCCCTTTTTTGCCAGAGGTCAGCAGAGAGGAGCTTTAGCATGACTCACACGAGGGCTCCGTCTGGAGCAGCCTCATGACTTCAGCAGTTTTTGCTTTTATCAGCGCAAGGAGCAACGCATCAAAACCGCAGCGGCTGGCGTTCGCATGTGCACACCGGAAAACAAGGAGGCTCTTCCTGGAGAGAATTTTACTGGGTACATTGACTGCACTTACTCCGGCCTCAAGTCAGTGCTGTGACTGCACTTGCTTTTCGGGAATTCGCATTGACGTGTTTATTGGACTCCCCTTGTACTAGAGGGGGTCAACTCAGGAACATTTCATCCCTTCCTTTCTTCTGAAAACCTCTTGGTTTTTAATTTTTTTTTTCTTTTAAGGCAATGTCTCCCACAAGAGCCCAGCTATCTTTGAACTTGAGGCAATCCTCCTGCCTCATCCTCTCTAGTTCCGGGATTGCAGATGTGAGTCACATGGCTCGGGCTTGTTTTCTAACATTAAAACAAATTTGCCATCTAGGCGACCTTTAGAACCAAAGAAACCACAGAATGGAAGGATGATGGGAAGAAAGCTGAGGCTTCCTGTTCCACCTCTGCCTCCAAGTTAAAGTGCGTCTCCTAGTCTGACAGGCTACAGGCATTCTCTCATGTATTCAGACACTATGTAATAAACGCCGACGTTGATAATAGGCCACAAACAGCGATGAGAGTCAGTGATAGAGCGGTTTGAACGAGGTGTGTGCACATGTAATCTCAGTGCTTTGTAGGATGAAGTAGGAGGATGGCGAGTTCAAGACCAGCCTGGACTATGTAGAAAGATTCTTTTTCAAATAAAGAGGGAATCTCTCTCTCTCTCTCTCTCTCTCTCTCTCTCTCTCTTTGTGTGTGTGTGTGTGTGATCACACTTGCATGTGCATAAGGTATCTTCTCATTTCGCCCATCCCTTTGTACATTTAATATACATATAGTTAATGTTTAGTGTATGTAAACACCATATTAGTACTTGGTATTTCCAGGAATCTGGATCAAACTGCTTTGTAGTCTGTGATCTTGGGCAGAACTTTTGCTCTGTGAGGCACTCATAATATCATTGCCATTGTAATATGCCAACCACAGGATGTAGGTTACTTGTACACATGTACAAAAATTTCTCTGAGAAAAAGAGCTATGTTTATTGTTACAACAGCATTAATGATATCTAACATCTGAACTTTCAGGCGTTAAGTTTTAAACCTTGTGGGATTTAATCTTGAGCATGTACTTTAAGTTTTATTTCAAAATTTCTACAAGAAAGTAAGGTATGGGGCCCAAACCTGTGTTTTCAACACTTGGGAAACAAGATTGTCATGAATTGGAGGCCAGCCTGGGCTACAGAGTATCTCAAGACAAAGGCAAAAGAGAAACAATTTGCTACATAAGATCTAAGGCAAGTCTAGCCAATGATTTACTAAAAATTGAGACATTTATAAAGAGAGACCAATGACACACACAGAACAAAGACAAGATAGAAAGACTGTTACCCCTCAAATCCAGTTAAAGCTTGAGTGACATCACATTCCACTTGTTCATTATAATAAATTTTGTCAGAAATGTTCATTTCGGGGCTGGTGAGATGGTTCATTGGGTAAATGTCCCCACCACCAAGCCGCCTGACCTCAGTTCAGCGTTAGAACCTCAGATGGGAGGAGAGAACTGACTTTGGCCAGTTTTCTTAATTAAGTGGCATACACTTAATTAAGACACTGAAATATTAAAAAAAAATTAAAGAAGTGCTAGTTCTTTCCTCAAAGATTGTGGACTTTATCACAGACAAATTACATCCTAGCTGGATGGGGATACAGGCCTGGAGTCTGTGGCAGACTTTGGAACCTGAGGCAGAAAGATCCTGAGTCTGAGGCCAGCCTGGACTACATATTAAGACCTTACTAAAAAACAAAACCAAGGCCTGGGTTAAGGTAGTTTCATAAATTTTAGGTTGGTGTGTGTATGTAGGTTGGAGAGTATTTTACTCTGTAGCCCTGGCTAGCCTGAAACTCATTATGTATGTCACCGTAGCTTCCAACCTGTGGTAAGCCTCCTGCCTCAGCCTTCCAATTTCCAGAATTACAGGTGGCATAACCTACCAAATAAGTTTAAAATTTTTTTTAAATGACCAGCATTTGTGTTAGCTCACAAATATGCCTAATAGAATATCTGACTTTTCCTGTTAATTTTTTTGTATATGTGTGTGTGGAGGGGTGTAGATGGCTTATTACTTAGGTTTAAATTGCCGTTTATGTACTAGAGAGCGCTACTGAAGGGAAAACTAAAATATCCGTCAGAATTTCCAAAAATTAAATAATTCATGGTTTTCTGACGTTCGAGGAAAAACATCAGATGACCTTTGAAAATGTTTTCCAGCTCTGGGTCCAAAGCGATTGTTCCTGTTACCAAAGACTTCTAATATGGACGGGGATTGCGATGATTTCCCGGCAAACTGTAGGTCAGAGCAGTTTGTGCTGCAGACCGACTAGCCTGAGGCCTTCTGCAGTCTGATGGAAGTCCCAGAGGAGGCCCAGCCCGCCCCAGGCATGCGCACTGTCGCTGCCTAAACCGACTGACCCAGACTGAGCCAGGGCGCTCAACTGTGCAGCAAGACCCCCAGGGCCAGCTCAGGGTGGTTTAGCCCTGCCTGCTTCGCCCTCTTCCTTCCCCTCCTGTTACCCTGGGCTAGAGTTTACTGCTCCTCCTCTTTCTCTTCCGTCTTCTTTCCCGGGAAGCTGGGTTAGGAACAGTGGTAGCCTCCGTTCGTTCGTTCATTCATTTACTTTTTATTTATCTATTGATTTGATGTTTTGAGAAAGCCTCATGCAGTGTAGACTGGATTTGAACTTGATATGTAGCCAAGGGTGCCGATGAGTTCCTGGTCCTCCTGCCTCCACCTCTGAGTGCGGCTGGGATTACAGGTGTGTGCGCTATATCCAGGCTCTCTCTCTCAGTTTAGGTTCTCTATCATATTTTGGCTGTTGCTTTTCCTCTCTCAAATGTTGTAGATTCAAATTACTGTGTTTTATTTGAGAGCCTGTGTATTTCTTCAATTTCCATTCTGCTTTTTATTAAATTTAACAATTTTGGGGGGGATAGGATCTAATGATTTTTTATTGAATATGTGGATAATCACAGATGTTCCACACTACTAACATGAAAAAATGTGGTCATAAGTGTTAAAAATAATCCCTAACAGCCACAGAATGGAATCCCAGAAGTCGAACAAGATCTTTACTTGATGACCAAGTGATTGATCGTCACTGTACATCGTTAAGCGAAGGAAGAAAACGAAGAGCAATGACTATACCAAGTTACCAAGTTACCAAATTACTCTGGCCGTAAAGAAATGACACAAAAGACGTTGCTAATTTCTGTGCATTAAAAGGTCCCGGCTGTCTTTAGCATTGCCTGACAGCTTCTGCTCCGTCCTAATGGAACAACCTAGCTTGCATCCTGGTCCTTTAACACGGCGGTGCACACTCCAGTCTAAAAAGTAGGGTTAGGACCATTATTTAAGATACACACTGGAAGTTATTTCTACTTTCCAAGATGCATGTGTTGTGGGTATGTAAATACAAATAAATGCAAATTGCAAAACTAAATGTGCGGTAAAATCTGATCACCAGGAACTCTGTGTGAGACCTCACGAAACTCCCGCTCCCGTCCCATTCCAAGGGTGCCCGAGCCCCTTCTGACCCTGGTTTTGGGACGAGGACAGCCTTGTACCAACAGCACCACCTGGTGGCTGAGATGAGAACTGACTAGGTCAAACTTTTCCAAACTCCAAGCCTCGGCACACGTTCCAGCTTTCCTTAGACTTTGCAGTTCAGAGCTGACCTGATCCCACCTCAGGTAGTCTTTTCCTCGCCTTTACACATATCTCTTTTTTAATTTTTTTCTTTGTGTTATTCAGTTGTTCATAAATTTTTCTGAGTCTCCAACCTATCTTCAGCCTGACAGTCGCTAGCATCAACTCAGACAGCTGGGGCTGCGATGCTCGCCTATGGCCACACCACCCTGGCTGCCCTCCGCCGTGCCTGAAATGCACAGGCTTGAACAATGACCTTGAAAAATCGAGCATTTCAAACCTTTGTGCAAAACATTCAGTTCACGTCCTCTCTTCAGAAATACAGTCCTTACCAGCTCTTAACCCCACCCCCCCCAAGTCCGTTTGCTCCGCCATAAACTGTCTTCTGTGGTAGCCAAGTGGGGAGACGGTGGCTCAAAAATCAGAAGTGAAGTTCCTCAACCTAACATTTTAGACTCCTTGGATAAAAAGGCATCGGCTCAAGTCTGGCTGCTTCCTGTGGGCATGGGGCAACGTGGGAGAGGGGAGAACCGGGAGTTGGAGGGCTCACGCTCAGCGAGAGGTGCGGCTGGAATGGCATCCAGTTTACTGTCGTCCTGGAGACTTCAGGCAGCTATTTTCTTCCACAAGAGGGCGCCAGAGCTCAGGACGGAACGGATGGCTGGAGCAGGGAATCAAACTCGGGTCCTCTGGAAAGGAAGGGCAATCGGGAAATGAACAGTGCTTTTATTTGTTTGTTTGTTTATTTATTTATTTATTTTTGATTTTTCGAGACAGTGTTTCTCCGTAGCTTTTGGTTCCTGTCCTGGAACTAGCTCTATGAACAGTGCTTTTAACCGCTGAGCCATCTCTCTGGACGGTTCAGGCAGAAGTTTCTTGAGGGAGATGAGAAGGCAGGTGGCCAGGAGAAAAAAATATTTTGTTATTATTGGCCCTATGAATGGAGTTAGTCATGGGAAGAGTCATTCACTGCCAGGAAGAATGGAACAGAGAAGGGCCCTAGTTGTACAGGTGAGGCCTGGGTGTATAGTTGGGACACAAGAGCAGAGATAACCAGATTTTGGTTGATAGGTGTCCTTGATCTAGGAGATTTGGTACCAATGGTGAAGTCCTAGGAGCTGGTGCAGGTGTTGTCATTGTCTGGAGAGTGCTTTGTAAGTTGGCCCAGACAGAAGGAGTGACCTGCTTTTCTTCTCTGACTGCTAGAGAAAGAGGACAGACTTGGAGGCAAAGCTCTGTGGCTCTGGCCGGACGACCCTGGCAGAACCTTCACCTCCTCCAT